ATTGCCAACAAAAATTAGCAGTTTATGATACTAAAGTGATCCATATTGTTAGTCACGAGTTGGAACCTATCCATTTGACAAAAGTTTTCCAATCAAACTGGTTCTTATATAACATTATTTGGTTCGAGTTTATGCTTAGTAAAGGTGAAGTAGTTGTTATACCTAATTCATTGAACCGTTCAGAACTTGAACATCATTTTGAAAAATCGTCTGCATGGTGGTATCACCTTTTTTCCGTCTTTTGGTCACGTCATAAGTTACTTCCAAATATGAAATGTGATTCCAATAATTGTAGTAAATGTATTATTGTCGACGGTCATCAAAAGTCAAAGCGAATAGTTTGTGAATACAAAAATGTTGTGGACACAACAATCGATGAGATGACATCAGTTGAAGTTGGATGTCCATATACACCATGTAGGAAAACGAAATCTAATAATTCCAGTTAGTGTTCTAATAACATTAGTAATTGTTGTTAGGTTATTGTAATTTATTATATCTTTAGTTTTGACAAATTTTTGCCGTTATCATCAACCGTCTAATAATCTATCTCCTCCTTCCGGTATGCAAAAAGCGTGCCAACTGGCTGTTGAATATGCAGTAAGTAATAGTATGAACTATTTGCTCTCAAAAATAGGTAAAAATGAATACGTTACAATGAAAGGTAGATAAATGACAAAGGATAGCAATCTGTAGAAAGAATTTGAAAAAAATGCTGTTCAAGATTCACATCATTTTAAACATCTGTCAACTTATTTAAGTTAGATTTCAAGATCTTGCCTAATTCTTAAGAGTAGTGGTGTTATTTTTCTCTTGAGATGGTTGCTGTTAAAACAACAACTGTTAAAATGTTCAACATCATGTCTGTTTGAAACTGTAACCTTTCTTAATATTTGCCTTCTATACTTTCCACTGAAAGATGTTATCTATATTGTTCTCTGAAACAGATTCATTCTTCATCTTAGACGAGTTATTTTTTTTCTCTCTATATATATTTCTCTTTCTCTCCCATATACATTTTACAAGGGTCTTTTGTAGCAACTTGATCAAAAGTCCTTGGAAGAACACAAAACCCAATGTTCAAACTATCGTGATGACAGTGAACAAATTCGAAAATCAAGAACATTTGGATTTTTAGCTTCCTACCATCCGTGTGGTGTGTCAATTGGCTTTACAGAAGCCATCAAAGCGGAGGGAATGAGGTCTATCACAAGGCATTTATTGCGTTCAATTATACATGGGTGTGAAATGTCCGACGCGCTTCTATACGATTGTGCTTGTACGCTTAAATTGCATTGGAACAAGTGGTTAGGAACTGACATGTTAAAATTAACAGATATAACACGACAACTTCCGAAGTATATCGCCCTGGACAACTTCCACCAGCGTACACATACAAGATCGATATGTCAAACAGTTATGAAGATGGACCATCCATCACATGGTGGTCGGTTTTCGGGAATAAATAGTCAAGCGGCCGAAATCGCCTTTCAATATATTGCCAAAGCAAAATACTCCTTACGAAATTTTTCATTTCCATATTCCACAGTAATGTTAATGTTGATGTTACATTTGAAAAATTGTAGAATCGTTGGCGTCAATGAATTCCAAATTGGTTTATCATCATTATATTTTTCGAATGAAATTAAAGATTACTTTCTAACACCTAGAATATGTGAAACATTTGGTGCATCAGATAAATATGATGAAAATACTGATGTAGAATCTGATAAAATAGAAGATTATAATGAATTAGCAATAGAAGAATAATTGACAGTATTTGTCATATACTTTCGTTTGTATATATAATATCTTACACGTTATTGATTATATTACAAATCATGAATACTTTCATTGATTATTATGCCTCATCTTATTAAAAGACTCTTTTAACTTTTATTGTTTTATATATAAGTTAGCTTTATGTAAATTGAATTATCTCTTCGTTTTCTTCTTTAAATTATAATATGAAATTTTTTCTTTCTCATCATTACCCTGTATAAAGCACTGATATTAAAGGTTTGTTCTTGATAATTCAAAAATGATTAAAAGTAAAAATACGATCGAAAAATATCTTAAAAGATTTTTAATTAATCATATATTGATAGACGAAGTACAGGATATTTAAATTTAGAGAGTGTTTTCTCAGTGAATAAGTTGAAAGCAGTTCATTATTAAAATTAAAATTAAAATAGCATATAGTTATAAAATCTAAATTGGTTATTTAATCATTTTCTTTTATACTGAATACAGTACTTTCAATGGAAATCTAAAAAAAAATGTACGCGTACACTGTGTGTATGCACACAAAGTGTAGGTGTACACTTTGCTTTAGTAGTAAAATGTACAAGATGTACTGAAATCGATTTTTCTCGATATAGAAAACAAAAAAAATATTATGTTCATTTTTTCATGACAAATACAAATTAACACTTGATGAATGAATAATCAATTAAAAGACACTATTTCATAATGTGACATGTTCTTTTACAAAAAAAAATGAGAAAAGTTTTTTTTTATAATAGAAAAAAATGATATATTAATTGCAATCACAATCAGAAAATACTTTTTATGTCGAGAGATATAAGCTTAGACAGAGAACACAAAATAAAGGAATTTATATTTTATTATTCTATTAGAAAATTATACGTAACAGGTCATAATGTATTGTCGTATACTTAGTCATAATGATATATGCACAACTTTTCTAATTCTAGTCTAGAATCAAAATGTATTTTTTTTTCACAAGATGTACGTAGTACATTTTACTTTTTTTAGCAAAGTGTAAATAAAAAGCAGCAGATGTTCTGTACATTTTGCTTCTGCTGTGTACATCTGCTGTTGGAAACCCTCACTGAATATAAAAAGAACAATATATTTCATTCGTTGTCTGACGTTTTCTTTCTTTTTCTTTATTGGTCAATACGATAACCAATTTCTAAATGGTGTGAAATGACAATAACGACTTTTTTTTTTCTTTCTAAATTGGTTTGTTCGAGTCATATGACTGCATTTTTTTCTAAGAAAGACATTTCATTAAAATTAAATGATTCTAATTATATTACTCCAGATTCTATAAAATATACACCAAGAAATGATAGTTTATTAATTTTTAATTGAATAGTACTTAAAACTAGGATTATAATTAATAGATAGACGAAATCTTTTATGACCTAATGAAGAAATTCATTTTCTCACTGCATAAATCATCACGATAGAGCCATCTCACGATATACAACTTTTATTTTAATGAAGTTTACAATAGAAACTATTCTAGAGAAAGTAAAATAATTTTCTTTCACTTGAAAATATTAAAAATTCTTTTATTTGTTTATTCTTTAGGTAAAAAATTTCATAAAGAATGCGCATGTTTTGCAAGTTTTAAAATATTCAAGTATTTTTTATTATATATTAAAATTAGGCGTTTAAATTAGCATTGTATTTTCGGTTATTATCAAACAGAATTCTTTTTCACTTATTTGAGTGAATAGATACTTTACTAAAATAGCTTTTCCTTTTGCTATATAATAAAAAACTTTTTTTTTGAATATGAGATAGCTTTTTTAAGGTACAAAAGTTTTGCCATTTTAACATGGTTTAATAATTTAAAGACAATCGTAAATATTTCCAAACTCTTTGAATATCTCCTCTCTATTTGACAACAATGATTATTATCTTCTAACATGTACTCTCTTGTACATCTCTGCTTAATGAAGTTAAATCAGTCATTTTACAACACCATATTGAATGGTTTTATCATATTATTCAGATCTTGCTATTAACACATAATCAACATTCGATTTTGATAATTAGGATCATCTATTCAGTGTACAGTGATTCGAATAATTCTCCAGTAAAAAAAAGAAATATCTTTTTTTATGTTCCTTGTATTAAAAATAGAATTCTTACTAGGTAACAAATGTAACGTCACTAACATTAAGTGACAATTAATTATCATCACTAAATACTTATCATACATTACTTAATCACCACAATCTTGTTTATCTTGTTTACAAATATTATAAACAAAGAAAAATACATTATCTGATTCATGTTTTATTTAAAAATTTAGAAAAATATGCAACGAATATTTTTGATGATTGCGGTATATGCAGCTACGAATGAGTTTCCTTTTTAACGCTACATTGTTGTTTATTACGCTAAAAACAAATTATCTTTTTCAAATAATTCATTTTGTTTCTTTTATTATAGATTTTGTCTACTTGAAAAAATAATCCTTGGAAGTTGGAACAAGAAACATGGTTGTTAATAATGTTGAAACAAATTATGCAAATGATGTTGTTTTTATTGCTGTACGTTTCTCTGATATGTTATTATTTTTCATGCACTAGATTGGAATTATTTTAGTTCATATAATTTCTTATTTACATGGATTATTTTGTTCAATTCTTTTTCTAATTCTCTGTTGGTGTATTTAAGGTAGTTTATCCTAATAGAAATTTTTAAAAGAAATTTCAAAGTAATGCTATACGTTGTAGAAGTTTGCTTAGATCAAGCTGATCTATTATCATTTCATTTGATTCTTCTTTATACAATTCATCAATGTAATGAACACAAAATTAACCAACAAGTTTTAATTAAAGACCATTATTATCAGTAAATTATTACATTTTTAAAGTATATTGTTAAATAATTTATTTTTCAGAATTTGTCTTCATCATCTGTTTGATCAACATATATTCCGAACTAAAATTCATTTTTATTTGATGCAAGTCTTGATCATTTTAGTTCAACAGCTGTAACAAATAATCAAACGTCTTTTGATTCGCTATTATTTACAATGTGTTATGAGTTTTTTGATGATGTTCTTGCAAATAAATTGAATTTAAAATCACAAAATAACCATTATACTATTGAATTACCAAACGTTTGTTATACACTTCATGTAAGTTTTCTCTAATTTTATTTATCAAAAAAGATTATTTTATTTATTTAAAGTTTATCTAGTTTGAGAGCTGTATGTTCATGTATGTCTCTTGTATTTATATTATCGATAGCTTTATTCAATTCTTAAAACATTAATCAAATTCATGAACGTTCACCAACAGAATGCTATATATTTATGATAAAAAATATCAACATTAATTGGTTATGCTTTACATACCTGTTCATATTTAAAATGTTGATGAACCAATTATTGTTACTAACAGCATTACAAACAAAAGAAAAAAGTTATAATAGATATTAATAATCCAAATAAACATTTATTATTATTGTTGAATGAAATATGCTATGTGGAGTAGAATTATAAAAATCATTCAGAAAACATGACTTAAATCTAAAATTGTTATATGAAATATTTTATTTATCATATGAAGAATATGATGACAATATAAATGCACCAATTATATCAATATATCTTCGTCTTTTAGCTGATGATGAAAATGATCAAGACACTGCAAGAAAATCAACACATAATATAAAAATAGTATATCATTATTAATCAAACAAGATGAAACATCAATTCGTATCGTTAAATATCCATTATTAGATGTACATTCAATGTATTTTCACAACAAAAATACTAGCTATATTATCAATATTGGTATTATTATTAATTTACAGAATTGATCAAAAAAAAAACTAAACAAAATTTATTTTTCTATAATAATTGTTTCTAATGATCAGTTTTGTACATGCTGGATAAGGCTGTTGTCAATTATATATTATTCATGAAGTATGAAAAAAATCATATTGAAATGAAGTAAATTTTTTTTTTTCATTTTGTAGGATTTAATTTTTAAACTATATCAAATATTTTACAATTTTACTTGAACTTTTATATCATCTATCGTAATAAATAATCAAGACCTCCATAGTAATATATGACAATGAGTTTTTGGAAAACAATAGTGTGTTATAATACCAAAATATTTTTCATATAAAAAGTCTATCAATGACTTTTTTCTAAATTAAACTAAAAAGGTTTTGTTCATGCGTGCGGAGTCTACCCTTATTAAATGTTAACTCTGGTCGTGATAAAGGAGGCTAATAGTGAATGACTAATCGCTTTTATAATAAAAAAAGTACGTGTGTCATGTAAACAACTACGTATTTAGTCCATTACATTTAGCAATATTTCTTGTTTTCGATCATTCCATTTAAAATAGACAATTGACACTAATTTTTTTTTACAAAGATATTATGTGTTGGTGGAATATCGCATGCAAAAGGCAATATATTTGCAGCCTATATAGATGAGAGTTTCAAGTACACGTCGTAGATCATAGTCCTATAAGTTCATGCTATCGATGATTTCAATTATTGAAAAAAAAAGATAATGATGTCACCATGTATTTATGATTCTATTCCATTGTTTCTTTATTTACATTACATCATTGTCTTTTTCTTTTCACTAGTTGACTGGTCGAGATATATAAGTTATTACATTACTATCTAGCACGTCTTATGTTTATTGGTAGACAAATAATAGGCATGTATCTCGTCCGCATTCATATGGCATATGCTTTAAACAAATATATTTAAACGTATTATTTCTTTGTCATGATTCGTCCAGTCTATAAGTCTTTTCTTTCTAGGCTGCCTTTTATTCTTTTTATTTTCTCCTTGTATTTTTTCGTCTATATAAACACATTCTATTTCAAAACGACGAGTGCAATATTTTTTCTTTTCACCACTTTATCGTTTGCCGTCAGTTGTCCCTGAATAACAGTTATAAGCAGACTGATTTACGTAAACCAGAAGAAGAAAATACGATGGAAACTCATTATTAAATCTTTGTGTTGTGTATTAAATTTAATTTTTATTTATTTAGACATGCCAATATCAAAAAGTGATTCATATTCAGCACAAATCAGTGAAAATATTTTTCGATTGACCAATGTAGCTCCTATTCCATTTAATTTATCCGAAGTTTTTGGTTGTTTTAATCAACCAGGATTAATAAGATTTTTTGATGAACATAAAAAATTAGGTTTGGATATTCCACCATTCGTTTTCGGTTTTCTTGTTCATGCTGCTGTAATGCTCGATGGAGCAGAATTATTTGATCCAGATGGTACTGGTTGTTTAACATCTATGAATTTATTTGTTCAACTTATTGGTGAACCTGGTGAATGTTTATTCTTGATGGTTTTAGTTTTTAATTGATTGTTTTTTTTAGGTACTAATAAATCTGGTATCTTAAGGGCATTTAGTTCTACAATGTCAGTATTATCACGTTTATTTCCACAATTCTTCAGTAAAACAGTAACTGAAAATATTGATGGTAAAGAAAAAACAAATCATATTGATTTAATTGTTAATAATGATACAGAATTATCGTTAGTTCAAAAACTATCTAAACGTGTACGCCTTACATTACATTCTTTTTTTTTACATATTTGCACTCATATTTAATTACTCTTTTTAAATTTTTAGGAAAATGTTTTCATATTTTCTGATGAATTGGACGTGATGAACATAAGATTCGGTGTGTATTTAGGAGGTTCAACGGATAATGATATGAAAACCATAAGTTCAAGATTATTGTGTCAAGGATATGATATTATTACAAATTTTTCAAGAACGACTGGTTCTACATCATTTCACATTGATCGAGGTTCAATAAACATCTTTGGAGCTAGTACTGGTAATATGTTATCGACTGTTTATCGTCAATATCGAAATTCGTCAATGTCTGATGGCACCACAAGTAGATTCTTGTACATTGGTGCATCAGCACATAAATCTGTAACAAATATTTCTGGTGAAATTCTATCATTACAACCCAACATGGTTCATATTCTGATCATTATTCGTCTTATAGGTGAATATAAACCAATATTTGTATTTGGCCAATATGAGAAAGAATCTGAAGTTCCAAATAAAGGTTGGTGTCAGTTTTTTTATGGTTTATATATATTTTTTTTGTTTAGTTATAATACCAAATGATGTACAACAATTAATAACAGATAATGACGATTCATTATCAGCAGTTGAAAATTTAAATGAATTGAAACCAACTGTTATTATTCCATATGAAGAAAATGACAGAGAAATTGATGGAAGTCTTTTATCACCATGTGCAGCATTAAAAAGAATAATAGATTATTACCATAATAAATCATTACAAACTGATCAACAAGGAAAATCAATTTATAAACCGTTACAACGAGCATTTTATCGTAAAGGTGGTCGAAAATTGGCAAAAATTAGTGCTTTATGTTATGTTATTTCTCTTGCAATAAAAATTTGTTATGAATCAATTCATTTTATTCGTTTTGGTGATGGTTTATTCATGAAAGATGTTATTGACAATGAACAATATAACAGATTATTTTTGTTCTATGATCATGTTAAAAAAATTATTAAACAAAAAATGGATGAATTACCATCATATGGTATTAACAATCGTCCTCTTATTGTAGTTGACAAAGCTGCAGTAAAAGCAGCTGAAGTATTATATGAATATTCATCTAAAACTATTGATTTACTATTTGATGATACAGCACTTACCAAAATTGATAATGATTCAACAAACATTTCCAACAATTTATCAACAAAAAAGTTAGTTGTGAGAGACATCCCTTGTTGTTTTTTTAAAACTCGTATTCTAATTACTAGAAGTTTAAATTGTGTTTAAAACCGTAAAGATTTCATTTTAATGCTGCAATTTGCTTTTTTTCATAGGTCGTTTTTTGAAGAACAAACAATTTTATTGACAATGGCATCGCCAATTTTGTCAAAAGCATGGTTTAATAATACAATAACTGGTTTACCATATACAGGCATTTTTAAAAACTATACAAAATCTAAAAGCAAAATGATTCGTTTGAATAATGCGCTAGATTATTTAGTAAATAATGGCTTAATTGAATGTGGTACTGCTAATAAAAAACATCTTGTTGGTGCACGAAGAGAAACATATATGAAAACACCACCATTTAATATTCGTACTGATAAAAATAAATTAACAGCACTTGAATTAATAAATATAAACATTGATGAGTACGAACACATTTATATGAATTCTCCTTTACCAGCAAATATTCAATTAACAGAAGAAACAATAAAATTGATTCTTTCTAATGAAGAATACACTCCAATTGTTCATTTATTTAATGATATTCGTGTCGAACAAGAAATGGAACTTCGAATAGCCTCTCATATAGTTCAACAAGAAATTATTCAAGGAAAAAAACAATATCATATCGTTTCATCTTCACAACGAGTTGATAATGGTATAGCGCTTTTTTTCAACTGAATATTAAAATTTTTCTTTTATTAACATTCTTTTTGTAACTACTTTTATATATAGACAACAGTTACGTTCAAAATATTTTTGAATTTGATTTTGATTCATTATCCAATAACAACAACAATTCATCAATATCTGATGTACCAGTTCATTCAATTCATAATTTATCATCATTATCATCATCATCATGTCATATTAACGAATCTCATTTATTTTCTTCATTATATAGATCGAATTTAACAACAGCAAGTTCTACTGAAGCTGATTTACAATATCAAAATAATCAAGATACAATGTCTTTTGAACATGAATTATATGAAATTGAACAAGAATTGTTACAGGCTTCTCGTTATTCATCAAATGTTATTGACAAGAATGTCATTAACAATATGTCTAACGAAATTATTTTAGTTACACAAGTACGTGATCCAGGTATGTTCGTTTGAAAATTATTATTCACTGGTATTTTAGGATATGTATTTGCATTGTTTAGTTAATACACCTGTCATTCTGAATAATGAACTATATGAACCAGTTTGTAATGCAACTGATGTAGAAAAACAAAGAAAAGTTCAAAATAAAAGTAAGAAAGAAATGTTTCACTATATGTAAACAAGAGATTTCTATCGACGCATAGATCAATCTCAATTGATCATTCCATTGATCGAATTCGAACCAAATTCAAGTAATAGTTTGAGAGAAACACAAACTATTGATCCATCACAACCGTTTCAACTGATACCTGATCTTATTCAAAATAAAAATCGTTCAATTAAACGTTTATTGGAAGAAGAAAACGAAAGCTTTAGAAAAAAACAAAAAAATACTACCGATGAAAATGAAAATGATGAATCAACAACTTCATCTGTAGGACACAAATGGAGTTTAACACAACCGAGATTCTCTTCGCCAATAAATACAAATTCAACAATAACTATTGGTATGTTTTATATGATTCGTTCAATATGGATTAAAAAAAATTTTTGAATGCAGTTCAAAAAGTATTGGAAATCACCATATTATTACTATAGTGTTGCGTTTCGCTTAATAGCTTGATAAAAAATATATAATAAAACACAAGGTCACCATTATTTATTTAGGATACTTAACAAAGGAATAATGAAAAAACAACATTTGTTTCCTTTATAAGGAGTAAAATAGTCATTAATTAACTTTAATAGGAATGAATATTCTTTAAAATCATGAAAGGGATTTAATAATTATAGTGCTTGAAATTGTTCAAAATTGTTTATCTTTTCATAAGATTTTTTGTTAGTTTCAGTATAGTTTACCTTTTACACAATGTTTATAATAAATTTCATACTTGTTTCTCGAATTATTGAAGTTTAAGATTAAAATAAGGTCATATCTTTTAAAGAAAATTTTCTTATTGTAGGTAGTAGTCATGTTGATAGACAAAATGTGAATCAATTTAGTTCAATTCATGTTGATACCAACTTGCAGCAAAATAATAGTATTACTTTGGCACAATCATCTACTGTTACAAATACCAATACGAATTGTGATGATGTAGCTGCTGTATCATCAATTGTCAATATGCTAGTGGACAATGTACTTAATACGACTAATTCCAATATATGCAAAAATGGTATGTTTATAAAAAGTATCGTTTATAATAAGTGTCATTTATAATCGTAAAAGAATGAAATCAGCTAGCTACAATGAATGTAAGATTATGAGAGTTGACTTTCCATCGAATGCTTTCTTAATAGCTTGTTAAAATAAAACATAAACTAAAAAGAAATATGTTTTAATTATTTAGATATTATCCAATTGGATTTATTTCATCCATCTGATTCACCACATATTGCAGATCATGTTAGTATGTCAAACTCCGTTCCAACAACTGATTATCAACATAATAATACGAATAAATCTTCGTTGCTCAATACAGGTATGCTGTTGGTCAAGTTACAATTATTCATATGTATCTGAAATTTTTTTTTTTGTGTTATATATATCTAGTAGTAAAAGAAAATAGATTATGATAATATCCCAGTGAAAAATGGCAAGATTATGTGAGATTGTCACCGGATTTTTGTGAAACAAAATCCAACTTTTAATCGATTAAAATCTTCCAAATCAACTATAATCTGATTTTTAATCAAAAATAATCTTGTAAATCAAGTACAATTTTGATTAAAATCTTATATTTTCGAGTAAAACTCATATTCAATCAAAAATAGATGATTTTAATCTAAGCTTTACTTGATTTACGAGATTATTTTTCATTAAAAATCAGATTATAGTTGACTTGGAAGATTTCAATCGATTAAAACTTAGATTTTGTTTCATAAAAATCCGGTGACAATCTCACATAATCTTGTCATTTTTCACTGGAATGACAATACATGTATTTTCAATTATTTTCTTTTTTTATAATAGATATGAGTCGACAAGGTGATACAGAATTACTCTCTTTTGATACAACAACATCACCTTCGAATACGTATGTTCAAATTGCTTCAAAAGATGATGGAGTAAATATTAATCTTGGTATTGATAAACCATCACTTAATGAAAAAAAAAAAGATTCTTATTGTAAGTTGTCCTATTGGTCTACATTTTAATAGAAATAGAAATCATCATTGTTTTTTCTTTTCGAATCAGTATCGGCCGGAAAAGATGATGATCAAATATGCTCTGAAATTTATCGTAAATTGATCTTATCAGATTCAATAGTTATGTCAAAAACTGACATATGTGTGAAATTAAAACATATATCTACATCAACTCGAATTCGTGATCAAGCGATTATCAATTTAGTAAATGATAAATTACTTATTATCGATGATTGGTTTAGTTTAAAGAATATCAAAGGTATTGTAAATTTCACTGGTTATCTCAAAGGTTTTCCAAAAAATGATGCACAAAGTCAAATGGACTTTGCTGACAAATTGGCAAAATATGGTATTGATTTTATTGATTTTGAACAGTCCTTTAGAAAAGATAAAGTTGGTGCTCTTCCACGTACACTTGATACATCTGATATCAAACAATCAAAATGGTTGTATTCACAAGCTTTAATGGATAAAATTCTTTCTAATAATTTTCTTCAAGAAAGATTAGTAATTGATCCATCAGCTGTTATTCATTCATCAAATAGTAAGTGAAAATTCAATCTATTATTGAAAATAAAAACATGTCTTTTCTCTTGATTAGATGAATCACAACATAACAAACGTATTCGAAAACCAAAAAAAACTTTTTCTCCATCTGATCAACAATAATTGATATTGTGAGTATTTAAATTTTTATTTGTGTTAACTATTTTTTATTTGTATCTTTTATTTAAGTCTGATTCAACTGTCTTTTCAGACGTTTTTTCTATCTTATGTCGGATCAGAACAAACTGATGCTCTTCTATCGATAATCATTTCTTTTTCAGAAGATTATAGACTCTTGTATAAAATAGTGCCGAAACATATCGTTTTATCTTTTTTATTTTTTTTAAATCCATCATTTGAAATTATAATCTTTATCTTGTTGATATTCTATATTGTGTTTTTATCCTATTTTGTGATGATTTATAAATATTTATTTTTTTCTCTTTTTCATGTCCACAACTAGGTTGTGTATCTGTATACAACGTTTGTTTTCCTAATTGTTTTTATTCTCTCTATGATGAAATTTTTACACAATTGTAAAACGTAAAAAAAAAGCTGATAATAATTGATCATACGTGAAAACTATGAATAAACTTATTGGAATACACATGAACAAAAATTGAGAGGTGTATTTATACATTAACAAAAATTAAGCAATAATAACTTGATATATTTATTGTTTACATTAACACTCTGCAAATTTTGAATATATGCACGTAAAAAAACTGTTCACTTTATTCTGTTTCTGAATGTTAACGGTTCAGCTATATTTACAGAGCATCCTTCTGATATTACAGAATCATAATACTGTTCTGTCAATAAATTATTTATTCATTAGAAGAGATTTTCAGGCACTATATTCGATGTATGCTTCACAAAACACAAAAAGACAAACAGCAGCACTCACAATAAACACATGTGGTTGACGTACCTACTTTGGCATTGAAGTTGTAATCTTAAATTAAGATATCATATATGCATTAATAACACATTACGCCATGACATCTGGGATTGACACCATACCAGACAGCTAGAAAACTTTCGCTACTTGCTCAACAATGTCAGAATTTAATATATGATTCACGAAATGATATGGATCATATATGAGCATGTGTTAAAAAACTGATAAATTATAATACCATCGTTTTCTAATGGAAATAAAAAATGTTACCTTTTTTTGTTTTTACAATTTTAAATGTTTATGTACAATTTACTCAATAAATTATGATCACTGAAATCATGCTGATAATATACGAACAAGGATGAGAAAAAAATAAACGATAATGTCATTGTTTTCTAACATGAATAAAAAATGTTTCCATTCTTGTTTTAATTGTCAATGTTCATTTCAAACTTATTTAATAAGTTATGACTCATGTAATCATGTTGATAATATAACAATCAGCATCAACAATCAGATAACATGATCATTTACTAAGAGAATTAAAAAAAGTTTCTACTACTCCCTTATAATTCTAGATATTCATTTAAATTTTATTCAATGAATTACTATTAATGAAATCATGTTGATAGTATACGACCAAGAGTCAAAACAAAGATTAAGAATCATATTATCGGTTTCTCACAGGAATAAAAAATGATCCTATTGTTTTTTTCTATAGTACTAGATGTTCAGTTACAATTTATCTAATAAATTATGATTAAGTAAACCAGCTTGATAGTATATGAATAAGGAACAGAAAAAAAATAAATGATAATAACATAGTTTAAAAACAGAAATAAAAAATGTTTCTATTCACCTTTTTTAATTTTAGATGTCCATTTTAAATTTGTTCAAATAATTACGATTTATGAAATCATGTTGATAGTATACGAGCAAGGGTCAAAACAAAGATTAAACCTCATATCATCGTTCTCTCACAGAAAAAAAATGATCCTATTGTCTTTTTTATTGTACTAGATGTTCAGTTACAATTTACCCAATAAATTATGATTAAGGAAACCAGGTTGATAATATATGAACCAGGAACAGAAAAAAAAAAATGATAATAACATAGTTTAAAAACAGAAATAAAAAATGTTTCTATCACTCTTTTATAATTCTAGATGTTCATTTAAAATTTATTCAAAAAGTTACGATTTATGAAATCACGTTGATAGTGTACGAGCAAGAGTCAAGAAAAAAGATTAACGATCATGTCATCATCTTTCCACAGGAATAAAAAATGATTCTATTGCTTTTTTATAATTCCAGATATTCATAAAATTTACCCAATAAATTATGATTAAGGAAACCATGTTGATAACATATGAGCAAGGAACACAAAAAAGTAAACAATTACAACATGCTTTAAAAACAAAAATAAAAAACGTTTCTATTACTCCTTTATAATGCTAGATATTCATTTATAATTTATTCTATAAATTACTATTAATAAAATCACGTTGATAGTATACGAGAAAGAGTCAAAAAAAAGATTAACGCTCATATCATTATTTTCCCAGAGGCAAAAAATTATCCAATTGCTATTTTTATAATTCTGCATAATCAGTTAAAAATTTACCCAATAGATTATGATTCAGGAAACCCTGTCGATAACATATGAGCAAGGAATACAAAAAAAACAATTATAACATGCTTTAAAAAGAGAAATAACGTTTCTATTACTCTTTTATAATTCTAGATATTCATCTGTAATTTATACAATAAATGAAGACTACTCAAATCGCATCGAAAATATACGAACCGACATCAAAAACCAGATACATGATATTATCATCCTTTACTGACAGAAATAAAAAAAGGCTCCTATTTCGTAATAATTTTAAGTGCTAATTTCATGTCTCTTTCATTAGGCGCCCAGATGTGTACCAACCGCAGAGTCATTGGTAGGCGAGGTGTCCCCTTCTCTACTTTTAGATAATTTTCAGTGTTTCCAACTAAAACAGTCATTTGCTCCTACAGAGCAAGGTAGTTAAATTAGAACTTGCCAATACAACGCCACTTTCCAATAATATGTTATGCAACAATTCTCCTCTCACGAAAGGACCTTCTTCACCCCTTTTTTCTTTGAGGCACATCCCAAAAATTAATACTGACGCTGTCCTATGGCAACTAAGCAAGCACCTCCCAAGACAAAGTTAGACGTTAATACCATCATTTCAAGACACGAAAAAAATGTGACTTTCAAGTCTATATTTCTATATGTCCCTATCTTAATGATTCAATGACGCATCATGAACGAAATCATGTTGCGATACACCGCAATACTCAGAAAAAAAACACAGACAATTACCATTGCGCTCAATAGTAAAACCTAATTCGAGTTCCACCATGGACAAAACGCAACATGGATCCGACGAAATCAGCAGAAAGCAAAACACCGTGATGCGGAACATTCCCAAACAATCCAATCCGTCTGAATATAGCATCCTCACCTTTCTCTACCCACTTAGAATAATGAAGCAAGTTTAAAAACACCAAACCATCTCACTTCCGAAAATACGCAAGTCACATGATAACCACAAAATATATTTTCAACTCATCTCATCAAAAGTGAACCTCTGCCCGAGTGCTTCAAGACACTTCTGCAATGCTACATGGAATGGGTCGTTTCCCAACGGGTCCTTCTTTCCATTAAACCCATTTGCTTAAACTCCTTTAGCCTCGCCCACAATGGCGACGTTTGCCTCTGAGCGTGCCTTTATCTAAGTCCTCTTTGGTGAAACTCTTTTCGCCGAATCCTCACCTGCGGCGCTTGTGTGTGAGTGTGATTTCCTGTACGTCCTACTAGGCGCAACTCATTTTGGGGCACCTTCACCTGCGGCGTCTGCGTGTGAGTATTTCTTTATGTGAGCCCTACCTGGTGAAACTCCTTTAGAACACCCTCATGTGCGGCCTTTGGGAGTGAGTGTGTTTTCCTCTACGTCCGACTAGGTGAAACTCTTTTCCCCGCACCCTCACCTGCGGCCTTTGTGTGTTAGTGTGTTTTTCTGGACGTCCCACTAGGTGAAACTTCTTTCGATGCACTCTCAACTGCGGCCTTTCTGTGTGAATATCTTTTTATGTAAGTCCTATTTGGTGAAACTCCTTTGCCGCAGCATCACCTGCGGCGTTTGTGTGTGAGTATGTTATTAATGTAAGTCCTATTTGGTGGAACACCTTTTGCGTCACCCTCACCTGGGGCGTTTGTGTGTGAGTATTCTTTTTATGTAAGTGCTGTTTGGTGAAAATCGTTTGCCCGCACCCACACCGGCAGTGCTTGTCTGTGAGTCTGCATATGTGTTAGTGAGTATCGATGCAACTCCTTTTTGCATCATTCACACCCGCTGGAATGATATGTTTCCGTAACCTTTAGAGAATCATAATTGTTTTTAGCGTTTTCGGCTTGAAACATGAGAGTGGGAAATTCGAATGGGATGGTGTGGATATGCGTGTTAGTATGAATAAATTACGCACACTTTCAGAAGAAAAATGCTCTATTTTTCACAGGAACTGCTAAAACTAAACCGGCTTCTAGTTTCACATACCGTATCTATAGCATCCAAATAATTGAAGCCAATAATCAGAGTGTTGCTCAGTTTCACCAATTCTCAACTCTTGCTTCATATAAATATTAAACAGGTGACAACTGCTTGTATTCTGCTTTGAAAAACGTCGTTCCAGGAAACGTTCAATTGAATACTTGAGAAAAACCAAGTAGAAAGTTTAAAACATACGATTTAATACATCTTAATTTCCTCTTTCCAATTGTGAAAACCGCACCTCTCAATCTTCTTCCTTTGAAAAGTCACCCCAAAAATTACGACTTGTCGTCATATTGTTGTTGGTAGTATATCTGCTATACCTCTTATACCTCCGATACCTCTTACCCCTCCTATACCTCCTACACCTCTTATACCAACTATACCTGCTACACCTGCTATATCTCCTACACCTCCTATACCTCTATACCTCTATAACCCCTATACATCTATACCTCCAATACCTCTTATACCTGCTATGCCTGCTATACCTGCTATACCTGCTATACGTCCTATACCTTTATATCTATCTACCTTTTACCCATAGGACATACTCGAGTTTTCGGAGATACTCTCAAAAGACATCATATGCGGGAGTCGACAGTGACCAGACTCCTTTCGCCAAATCCGCACCAGCT